TTGATTCCTGGTCAGGGAACCTACCCACATTGTGGGTTCGATTTCTGGTCGAGATGCGTGCTGGAGGCAACCAATCAATGTTTCTCTGTCACATCCATGTCTTTCTCTTCTTCTCCCTCCCCTTCTCTCTTCCTTCCCCTCTCTGAAATCAATTAAAAACAAAAACAAAACACCTACCCCCCCCACGCACACACACAAAAAAACACTCCATTTGGTTTCATTAGTGAAAATTCCAGTTTTACAGATTCTTCCAGAGCATTTTATTTTTATTTTTTTAAATATATATATTTTATTGATTTTACACAGAGAAGAATTGAGAGGGACAGAGAGTTAGAAACATCAATGAGAGAGAAACATCGACCAGCTGCTTCTTGCACACCCCCCACTGGGGATGTGCCCGCAATGAAGGTACATGCCCTTGACTGGAATCGAACCTGGGACCTTTCAGTCTGCAGGCCGACGCTCTATCCACTGAGCCAAACCGGTCCCGGCTCTTCCAGAGCATTTTAAAAAGGAGGATACACTCCTCAACTCATTTCCTAAAACTTCACAAAAACAACACGAGAAAGGAGAGTTATTGGCGAGCTTATCCGTGAGTGGGGTTGTAAACCGCTGGGTGGGAGTGGGATGGGTAACACCTTCCTCCTGCCTTTCCCAGTGGGAGCAGCAATGAAGCCCAGCCAGAACGCAGGAAGCAGGAGCTTCTGAGAACTTTGAAAAGTGCACAGTGGCAGGTGAATTGGGGAAGAACCCCAAAATATGAAGCACTGAACTGGTAATGAGTTCGCCATATTTTTATCCTCCTGCCACTTGGTGTCGGACACCGGCAAGGTTATGAAAGTACATGGCAGAGTGGGCTAAGTAAAGCTCTAGCTTTCTGGCTAGAGAGCTAAGAAGAGGAACCCCAGGGAACGGGATAAATAAGGGAGATCATAGAATGAATCACATAACATTATTTATAAACTCCTTTAGAACTTGACACCTTTAGGTTGATCTGGTCTTCATCAGCATAGAAAAGACTTGGAGACGTCATTCAGGTCCCAGACTAGCCACTGGGGGGCGCACACATGAGACAGGTCAGAACCCCATTGCAAAGTTTTTGAAAACTGAAACGAAATTCTAACCACAGCTCACAAAAAGTCCGTTGGAACTACAGTAATGTCCTGAACCTAATTAGGTCAGTTTCATGCTAATACAAAAATATCAACATTCTTCATTGGATTTAAATAAGACCCAAAGTCTGGTCATAATGTTCAAAATGTTCAAGATGCAACCTAGAATTACCTGGCATATGAATAACCAGGAAAACTTTCATTCACAAATAAAGAGACGACACATATCAATACCAAGATGACTTATATATTGGAATTACCTGACAAAGACTTTTATGCAGCCATTATAAAAAGAAATGCTCTAACAAATAATTGCAAACACCCTTGGAACAGATGGAAAACCAAAAAGTTTCAGCAAATAAATAGGAAATATTTTCCATGGAAATGTTAGAACTAGAAAATAAATAAATAAATAAATAGATAAATTCCTGGATAGACCCTCCAGGAAAATGGAGATGTCAGCTAAGCCTGGAGAGCTGGGGACTGGGGCAGTTGGGAGAAAGAGGAGGTGTGGGGGGGGGGGGCGGTGAGAGGGGAGAGTGGGAAGAGAAGAAAGAGGAGGAAGAGAAAAAAAAATAAGTGGCAAAACAAATAATAAACTAGAAGACTTAAATCCAAATATATCGATAATTGCATTAAATGTAACTATTTTAAACATACCAATAAAAAAACAGAGGTAGTTAGAATGAATAACAAAACAATTATATTCTGCCTACAAGAAACTCACTTCCAATGTAATGCTTCTAGTATAGATAGGGTAAAAGTAAAAGAATAGAAACATTAATACCAGACAAAGTAGACTCAAAGCAAGGAAAATTACAAGGAATAAAGGGATATATTACATAATAATTAAACAATCAATTCACCAAGAAGACATTACAATACTGAACGTAAATGTAAGTAGCAACAATGACCTCAAAATACATGAAGCAAAAGCTGACAGAACTTAAAAGAGAAACACACAAACCACAATAATAGTTGGGGACTGACCTCTCCTATGACAAAAATCTACAGAACTAGCCCTGGCCGGGTAGCTCAATGAGTTGGAAAAGGAGGAAGGAATGACTACATTGGTAAATATATCAAATTATAATTCCCGCCCTAACTGGTTTGGCTCAGTGGATAAAGCATCGGCCTGTGGACTCAAGGGTCCCGGGTTTGATTCTGGTCAAGGGCATGTACTTTGGTTGTGGGCACATAACCAGTGGGGAGTGTGCAGGAGGCAGCTGATGGATGTTTCTAGCTCTCTATCCTTCTCCCTTCCTCTCTGTAAAAAAAAAAAAAAATCAATAAAATATATATATTTAAAAATTAGAATTCCACTGTGCTAAAGATCTATTTTAGCAAGCACCCCAGTGGTTCTGCTGCAGGTGGGCATGGTCAGTACTGCCTGGTAGGGCAAGGAAAAGAAATAATACTGAGAAAAGGCCAAACAGCACAGTGTCATTATCAGGCAATCTGGTGGCATGGTGGGAACAGAAGTCAGCCTGAGTGGGTTAGAGTCTGATCTGGAGCCAGAGAGCATAGACAACATTAGGAAGCTCGACCGGGGAAAGAAATGGGCAAATAGCTAAAGGTAGACCTCAGAGCTGAAGTGGGTTTGTTGTCAGGATCAGAGAAACTCGAGAAGATGTTTGGGATGGAGAGAAGAAAGCAGGAAGGGGGTGTAGGGAGGGAATTGAGGGGCCTGAGAAGTTGTGAGGGACAGAATGAGGAGACAAGAGGGGATCACATGGAACTGGGGAAGGGCACCTCTTTCTCTGAGGCTCAGAGAAGAAGCCAGTGCTCTGGTGCACACGGGACTGTTTATGGAGATCAGGTCTCTCAGGAGGTCTGGGGGCAGGATGAGAGACAAGTGGCTGAGAAGAAGAGAGGGAAACCATGGGGCTCCAGGACACTGGGGGGTTGGAAAATCAGCCGTGGGGAATGGCATCCAGAGTCAGGCAGAGGTGACTCCATGGTCAGCTAAGCCTAGTGGGCTGGGGGCCGGGGCAGCTGGGCTTAGTTGCATAGATCTATAAGACCCCATTCCTCTAGCTGTGGGGGGATGCAGTGAGGTGAGAAGAGGTGGGGGCTTCCCAGAATTGGAGAACTGAGAAATGGGAGGCAAGTTCCAGGGGAGAAGGGGTCAGCAGTGAAGTCCAAGGTTCTGGCCTAGAGAGAGGACTCACTGAGTATGTGTGTGTGTGTGTGTGTGTGTGTGTGTGTTGAGTGGCTAAGTAAATTTATGAATGAATGAGGTGAATGGATGAATGAGGATTGTATTTGGTATTCAAAGACTTGGTCCGTTTCTTCTAAATTGTTGAGGATTATATGTAAGTACATAAAATGAAAAAAGGGAAACAGAGGTAGTTAGAATGCAAGGAAGTTCACCAAGGCTTTGAGGTAGGAAGTTTCAAAAAGCATCTTATGGAACCTAACTTAATAGAAGGGCCCAAGAACCTGGACCCTTGTCTCATCCTTTATAGAAGCAGGAAACAGACTGACAAATCTCAGAAGGAAGGTGGCAATGGGGGTGGGGGTGGGGGAAGATTAACCAGAGAATTATATGCATATATGAACATATATGCATAACTTATGGACATAGACAATAGTGGGGGTGAAGGCCTGGTGGGGGCAGGAGTGTGGTAGAGGGAAAATACTTAATACTTTCAACAATAAAGATAATTTTCTTAAAGTCCTGCTGTAGCAACTTTTTAATATTTGCCAGGGACTGTCCTAAGCATTCTGCATGTTGTAACTCACTCAAACTTCACATCATCCTGTGAAGCTGGCACTCCTATCATCTGCCTGGTGCAGATAAGGAAACGAAGGCATAGTGATGTTCAGTAACTTGCCCAGGATTACCCAGTAAGTGATGGAACTGGTATTTGAACTAGCCCATCTGTCCCCAGCTGGGGACTTAACCAATGACTGTACCATCCCGTGTCGCTCAGCCTGTCACTTTGCCTCTTCCCCAAGCTTTTCTCCAAAAGATAGGTTTCTTTCTCCTCCCTTTACTGACTTCTCTTCCCAGTCCCTCAGGCCTCATATTTCTGGAGAAAGTTTTCAATAAGCCTTGCCTACTGAACACAATTGTATTTTTTCCCCAAATGATACCCAGACACACCATAACTTCCTGGTGCAAAAAAAAACAAAACAAAACAAAACAAAACAAAAACCTTGCCTCCCCCTCCCTCATCTCCTACATTCATCTGCCTCCCCCCACCCATTTCCTATGCCACCCTGCCTCCACCCCGAGCAAGGCCCATATCTATGGCCTTCCTCCTCCCTAGCCCAGGAGGCTATTCTCCCTGAGCTGGGATTGGACCTCCCCTGCCTTCCGGACAGACTCCAGGGAAGTGAGTGTTGGAGGAGTCTTAGACCTTCCAACTAAACAAATGCTTTACCTGTCGGTCTAGCCCAGCAGTCGCCAACCTTTCAGACCTCACAGACTGTCATTGGTCCTCGGACCACCAGTTGGCGACCGCTGGTCTAGCAGATGCCTGCAAGTTGACTATAGGGTTATAGATAGAACAAGGGGCTTTCCAGATATCATCTTGGCCAGTTCCCAGGACATGTTCTCACACCCCTCCTCCCCCGGCCTCAGCTTGGAAACCCCCAGTGACACAGTGACTCTGAATTTCCACCCACTGGGAGCGGGTGCCCGGCACATGCCTCCGTGCTACCCGCCAGGGACTCCTCAGCCTCAGCTTGCATCCCTCCAGGGACAGAGCGGCCCTGGATTTTCACCCACGGGGTGCAGCCCTAGCCCAGAACCTCTGCCTTCAAGGTGAACACAGACTGGAACACAAAGAAGGAACCAACAAGACCATCTTTCTTTCTTTCCCTCTCTCATTAAATGGCGAATAATAATGCATTTACGTATTCTCCCACTTAGAAAGTGGCTTAAATCCTTTGAAGAATCTTGCAAGGTAGCTTGGCTAGACAGCAGGCAGGACAGTCCAGCGCCTCCGGCGGGGGGGCCACGATCTTCCACTCGCCCGTCTTTTGGTCCAGCAAGTAGGCATTGGGGTTGATGGTGTAGTCCTTGGTCTGGACGTCGCTGGCCGTGGTGATGCCCCCGCAGACGAAGACCTTGCTGTCCCCAATGGAGCAGATAGCGTGGGACACGTCCAAGGGACAGCAGTTGGGCAGGAGGGGGACCGTGGTGGTCGTCTTGTTGGCCTTGATCTTCTGCAGGTTGATCTCCACGCTCTGCCGGTGGCTGTGCACACAGAGGTTGTTGTCCTGGTCGAAGGAGAGCAGGGGCCGGTGGTTGAACTCGATGGGGAAGGTGATGCACTGGACGACGTCCCCCGTGTTGGTGTCAAAGCAGTCCACCACCCCGACCCGGGAAATGTAGCCCTTCACCAGGCACCGCCCCGTAACGATGTACAGGTTCCGGTCGCCCTTGGTGATCACGGCCGTGCCGTCCATGGGGATGCTCATCTTTCCCGCCAGGTACCAGGCCTCCTTGCGCTCGTCGTAGCGGTAGATGTTGGAGACGTACCGCCGCGGGGCGATGCTCCCGCCCACGGAGTACACCGTCCCCCCGCAGGTCACCATGGTGTGGAAGACCAGCCCGATGGGGAGGTCGGGCAGCTTGGTCCAGGAGTTGTCATCCATGTCATACCGCCACGCCGTCTTCAGCCCCGAAATCTGCTCCGTGGTGCCGCCGGAGATGTAGATGTAGCGGCCGGCAGAGGTGGCGCTCAGTGCCGCCGCCCGGTAGGGCATCTCGGAGAGCTTCAGCCACAGGTTCTCCTGTATGATGTAGGCAAAGACCCCGTCGTTGAACTTGCCCTGGGCCTTCTGGCCGCCGAGGATGACCACGGAGTCGAGCAGGGCCCCTTTCCGCTGGTAGCTCAGCAGGCTGCACGGCTTCTCCTGCTTGCGGTCCACCAGGACGCTCTCGATCATGGTGGCGTGGGCCGAGCTGTTCTCCATCCCCATCAGTTTGTTGCAGGCGAAGGTCAGCGTCTTGTTGGAGACGGCGTTGAGGTTGATGTACATGAAGAACTTCTTGAAGTACTTCTCCCGCTCATCCTTGCGGAAGTACACCCAGCTGATGAGCGCGCTGAGGGCCTGGTCCTCGTTGAGCACGTGCAGGTTCTCGTCCCGCAGGAGGCGGCCGAAGATGGCGGGCGGGCAGCGCATGAAGTGCGCGCAGCCCTCGGGGCTGACCCAGTAGTGGAAGTTGTCACGGATGCCGGAGTAGGCCAAGTCCGACACCTCCTTGAGCTCGAACAGCTCGGCCAGGAAGAGGTAGTGCAAGCAGTTGGCTCGCCGGATGGACTTGATCAGAAAGTCGCTGCAGTGGATCCGGAGGCGCGGCGTGTTGAAGTACTGGGCCCCGCGCAGGAGCTCCTCCACGTTCTGCTCCGAGATGACCACCTTGCCGCTGTAGAAGTAGTCCAGCAGCTGCTCCACCGTGGCGGGGCTCAGGTAGTTGGGGTCGATGGTGATGAAGAGCTCGTTGGTGGTCTTCATGTCGTTGCTGGAGATGAGGCTCTTCACCAGCGGGGAGACGGCGGCCAGCACGTTCTGGTGGGCGAAGAAGACGTGGTGGTCCACGGTCAGGGCCATGTCCCAGTACTCTTTGCGTTTCCTCTGTTTGTTCAGGTTCTGCAGCACAAAGCTGTTGTAGTTCTTCTCCGTGAATTCCAATTTCATGGCGCGGTCTGCGGTCTGAGGCAGAAGAGCAGCAGCAGGTACTGGAGAACAGACTTTCTCAGGCCTTTGGGATCCAAATTGATGGCTGTTTGCAGAGCAGCTGACCAGGGAGGAGTGGGTGTGGGAGAGAGGATGATGTCATAGAGTGCATGAGGTCATCACAATGCAGGTCCCCCCCCTGAGGCCTTTCTCCCCTCTTACGGCTCCAACCTGCCGAGGGTAAATACCCTGCTAGGTCCTGGTGCCACCGAGGGCCCGGTGCTCAGAAGGAAACCAAGGTTGCAACTCCGACCTGGGACCTTCAAACCTCAATTGAAGGCTGCTTCTGGAATGTCAGAGCCACTCTGAATGGGGTGGTGTAGGGAGGGGTAAGGGAAGTTGGAGGAAGGAAAAGGATTATTAGATCGTCTAGAACAGTGGTTCTCAACCATTCTAATGCCTTGACCCTTTAATTCAGTTCCTCATGTTGTGGTGACCCCCAACCATAAAATTATTTTCGTTGCTACTTCATAACTGTCATTTTGCTAGTGTTCATGAATCGTAAATATGTAAATATCTATGTTTTCCGATGGTCTTAGGCTCTACAGCAGCGGTTCTCAACCTGCGGGTCCTGACGCACAGGTTGAGAACCGCTAGCAGGGTGGTCTGAGACAGTGGTCGGCAAACTGCGGCTCCTGAGCTGCGGTTTGCTGCTCTGTTGACTAATGGATTTGCCCACCCCTGGCCTAAGACCATCAGAAAACAGATATTTACATTATGATTCATAACAGTGGCAACATTACAGTTATGAAAAGCAATGAAAATAATTTATGTTGGGGGTCACCACAACATGAGGAACTGTATTAAAAAGTCCAAGGCATTCTAAAGGTTGAGAACCACTGGTCTAGAGGAATCCTCCCATTGCACAGAGGGAAACAGGCCCAGAGGAGAGAGGGGACTTGCCCGAGATTCATAGCGAGTTGGAAGCAGAGCAGGGCCCAGAACCCACCCTCTATAACCTGGGACTCTTTCCACTCTCCCAGGCAGCTCCCAACTCCTCAGCTTTCCCCGTCTCTGGTTCTTAGGCCTTCAAGTGTCTTTCTTGGGCAAGGCTCCCGGGCGGCAGAGAAGACCAGCTCTGACATCTGTGGCCAGAGATGCCATTCCTTATCACAGAGGGAGAGACGGAGGCCGCTCACTGGATGCGGAGCTGGCCAGGTACTGGGGGGGGAATGGGGGGAGAGACTCTGAAGCTCTGATTACCTCAGCTCCACAGCAGACTGGGACACTCACCTCACATTTCCAAGTCTCTAGTTGCAAAACGTTGGGGTCTGTTATGGGTCAGCTCTTCGCAAGTTGCCCATTCATGTGAGATGGGACTAAGAGTATATTGAGTGAAAATGAGAAACTCGTTTAAATGAGAATATTAGGCACGGTGTGTGGCTGGTAGCAAACGTTCAATGAATGCTAAATGCTAGCCATCCTTATTTTATTAAGATGATGTTAGTCCAGCCAAGCACGGCACTCCTGGCTTCTTCCTGCGTGAATACCGTTAGGAAGTCTGGAAAGTGCCGATCCTTTAGGGCAGGCTCCCTGAGCCGCCGGCGGCCACACGGGGGCGCCGGAGGGCCATCTCCCGCCTGTGGGGGCCCCGCTGCACCCCTCTCCGCGATGCGAAGAGCCGTGGGGGTCCCCCCATCTTCCGCTGGGCTGCCGGGTGGAAATGCCGGGGCCTCCTCCGCTCACCGTACACAGACCCGTGTCCGCATTACAGACGGGGTACCCAGCCCCGGACGGTGCGCAGGACCCCGAGGCCGGAGGGCAGCCATCTCAGGGGGAAGCGTCCACACTCCACTCCCTGCCCCATGCGCGTGTTGAGCTGGGGACACCCCAGGGCTGGCCTGGGTGCGGCCCTCGGAAGGTTCGGCTGACATGGATCCCTCCTCGGTATAGACCAGTGGTCGGCAAACTCATTAGTCAACAGAGCCAAATATCAACAGTACAACGACTGGCATTTCTTTTGAGAGCCGAAAACCGACGTCTGCACATGGGCCACAAAGTTTCCATTTCACTGTACGCGATATTTTGTGGAAGAGCCACGCTCAAGGGGCCAAAGAGCCGCACGTGGCTGGCGGTCCCTGGTATAGACGCCGCGGGAACTCGGGGAGCCCCACTGCAGCCGGAGGGAGGCGGGTGCGGAGCTGGCTGAGGCTGCAGGAGCAGCACTGCGACAGGGCGCAGAGCGGACCTGGGCCGCCCGATCTCGGCCCACCGCCCGGAGCCCCCCTCCTGGCCCTCAGCGCGGCCTCAGCGCCCCGCTGGGGAGCCTTGGGAGTGAGAGCAGCCAGCTCTCCCTTAGCCGGGGGCAGCCCAGTTCTCACTATCCACGGCCGCTCCCCCAGCCTCTCATTCCAGACCCGGCCTTTTCTTCGTTTTGGCACTGGATCATTTGAAAGTCACTTAAAAGTGCCTACCTTTTCATGCCGAATTCGTCCGCCTGGGTCCCAGGGGGGGACAGAGGCGCGCAGTCTCCAGAGACGCCCGTCTGCACCAGGCTAGCACCTCTTTTCCCAGGGGAAGGCGCTGGGACTTCAGGTTCTGCCTGTGAGAATAATTGAGCTCTAATTGTTTCTCCAGCCCTGATCTCGCAAGACGTGGGCGGAGGATGAGGCCTCTTGGTGTTAATGCCAAACACCTTTAAATGCCTATTGGCCCCCCCAGGCCTGCCCTTACCTCCTGGGGCCACCATGGTCGGCAAACTGCAGCTCTTTGGCCTCTTCCACAAAATACCACGGCCTGGTCGAGTCTATTTTTTTTTTTAAATATATTTTATTGACTTTTTTACAGAGAGGAAGGGAGAGAGATAGAGCTAGAAATGTCGATGAGAGAGTAACATCGACCAGCTGCCTCTTGCACACCCCCTACCGGGGATATGCCTGCAACCAAGGCACATGCCCTTGACCGGTATCGAACCCGGGACCTTTCAGTCTGCAGACCGACGCTTTACCGCCAAACCGGCTTCGGCTGGGCCAGTCTATTTTAAAGAAGTGGCGTTAGAACAAGTTTAAGTTAAAAAAAAAAATTGGCTCTCCCCGAAACCGGTTTTGTTCAGTGGATAGAGCGTTACCCTGCAGACCGAAAGGTTCCGGGTTCGATTCCGGTCAAGGACATGTACATTAGCTGCAGGCACATCCCCGGTGGGGGATGTTCAGAAGACAGCTGGTCAATGTTTTTCTCTCATCAATGTTTCTAGCTTTCTATCCCTCGCTCTTCCTCTCTGTAAAAACTCAATAAAAATAAATAAATAAATAAATAAATAAATAAATAAATAAATAAATAAATAATAAAGTGGCTCTCAAAAGAAATTTCTATCATTGCATTGTGGATATTTGGCTCTGCTGACTAATGAGTTCGCTGACCACTGTCCTGGGGCATTTGTACCCAAGAGCAGGGGTTGGGAGGGTCAGGTCCTACTGCTTCACCTGCTGCTCCCCCCCCCCCCCCATACCCTGCAGCCTTGGGGGCATTTTGGTGGAGGTGGTGGTTCCCCTTTGCTTTTGTTACAGGGCAGGTAGGTCTCCCATCAAATGCTTCCCTCCACTAGAGAAAGCGGGGCCTAGGAATGCGTCATGGAGACATCCATCCATGTTCCAGATGTCAGACAGCGGGACAGACTGGGCCCAGAGAGGACAAGGACCTTGGTCACCTCAGACTGCACAGCGCTGGCTGGGAGCAGGGTTCCTGCCTCCTCCGCTGCCCTCTGGCCGCAGAGGAGACCTGGAACCTGGCTCTCTTCCACGGTTATTGAACTTGTGGGCGTTGTCATCTTTAAGAAACCCAATAAAAGGCGTGAGGTCAGTGCCCATCCGCTCAGTCAGCTCTTTTGTCTGCTTTTCTTCGCTCTGGAAAGCGCCTCTGATCAGCTGTTTCCTGGCTCCAGCCAGCGGAGGCCGGGGCCGGCGGGGGCTGGCCGCGGGCCACGGCCACGCCTGTTATAGATGTGTGTGTGCTGGGCGGAGGGTGTTTCTTAGGAAGTTCAATAACTGTCTCAGTGAGTCCCTCTGGCTCATGGTGGCCACCCACAGGTGCCCTGACCTCAGCCCAAGGCCTTCCATCCATCTTTAGCTTCCTGCCTCCCAGCAGGGAACTTGGGCGGCGTCCGCTGCATTGGGGCGAGGTCCTGGCGTCGAGAACATCCCGCCTCCCTCGCCATCTGCGGCTTAGATTACAAAGTGCCATTCCCCCCTTCCCTCCCTCCCCCCCCCCCCCCCGCCCCCTGTCTGACTTACACCATCAGATTTTGTTTTACCTCGAAATGAAATAGATTGGGGTCCGCAAAGCAGCAGGCTTCCAGCATTCGCTCTGTGAGACGTGGCTCTGCCCCGGCGCCTCCTGGTCCAGGTCCCCCGACGCCACCCCGCCTCCGTGGCAGCATCTCATCCCCTGGCCCCCCAGTCAGCACACAGCGCCCTCAGCGCTCCCCTGCGGCTCCAGGGGCTTGCTGAGCCCGGGCCCCAGCCGGTTCCCAGTTCCCCAGGTCCTGCCTGCAACCCCAGGGTCCTCAGACCAGTTTGGGAGCAGCCAGGGGGCTGGGGGTGACCCGGCTCCTGGAGGGCTCAGCCTGAGCACTGCGGCCACCAGAGGGGACCCGCCTGCGGGGGGTTAGACAGAACAGGCTCCCAGGGCAGCTGGATGCCCAGCTGGCTCCAAAGCCATCCTTCAGCCTCCCCCTGACCCCTCCTGAAGGGGCACCAGGTGTGGTTTCCCCTAGCCTAGCCTTGGGAGGCGGCAGGGACTGTCGTTCTCTGCTGGCCAGGTCCTGTTACTGCAGGAAGTAAGAGGCACCCTGCCTGACCCAGCCCCTGCCTTTTCATGCCCACTGGGAGCCAGGCCAGCACATCATTCCCATCTCACAGGACAGAACCAGGCCTCGGCCTTCCCTCAGCTGGGATGGGGCAGAGCTGGATGGGGAATCAGGACGGTCTCCGCAGCGGATGTGCGTGGTCCCCATGTTCACCAGCCCAGGAGGCTCCGGGGTCCTCTGTGCATCTGTGACTGTGTCTGTATTACCAGAGATCCCTTCGGGGCACAAGCCAGGACCTGGTGGACCTGTGCACAGCCTCCAGGACCGAGTCCTCTGCTCTGTCCTCCACACGCTGCAGGGACACCCTGCTGGGCGCCTCACTCAGATAGAAGAACATGTTTTGCCTCCAAAGGGGCAAACGACTCAGGCCCTCGGCCATGGAGACGGCCTCTGAGCCGGCTCCGGCTCCCGATGGGATGGGATGAGGCAGCTGATGCCAGAGCCCAGGCTCAAGTGGAGGTGGCAGGCAGGGAGTGGGCTTGGCGGTGCCATCTCCCCGGGGCCCGGAGCTACAGGGGAGAGGGGACTCTGGTGCCCTCTCCCAGGCGCCCTCCTCATGCACCCCTTTGCCCCACACAGCCTAGTTTCCATCTGTCTTATGTCATGGCCATCAGGGAAGGCACTGTTTGCAGAAAGTACTCACTGTGGAAACCCTCTGAAGTCCCCCGCTCAAGGCCAGCCATCAGGCCCTCGCGCTCATGCAGAGTCACAGTCCTGGATGGGAGAATGGAGCCTCTCTCCCAATCCTCCCAAACGCACTGAGCTCCTTAGGAAGTCACGGGCACGTCTGCCTCCCGGTGTGATTACCTCGCCTCCACACGGACAGCAGACTCAGGCCTGTGGGTACAGAGAGGCCCCCTGAGCCGGCTGCAAGTGGGATGAGGCAGAAGGTGCTGGAGCCCAGCCTCCGGAGGAGGTGGCAGGCAGGGAGTGGGCTTTGCTCATTGCCCAGGCCTGTGCCAGGCGCTCACGGTTCAGATGGTCTCCAATCCTAAGAGAGGTGTTTCTTTGCCTCCTTCCCTTCCTTCTGGCTTTACTGAGCACCCGCCTGTGCCAGGCGCTGGGATACAAAGACAAAGGAGCATCCCCAAGACCTCACCACCCCGTGAGAGCACCATCGAGAGCATGGCTGTGACCGCGGTGGGCGCAGGATGCAGGGGCAGCCCCAAGGGACTCGAGGAAGATCCTCCAGGGAAGTGAAAGCCGGCTGGGACCGGAAGGCCAAGGAAGGGCAGTCCAGACGGAGGGAACTGCATGTGCGAAGGCAGGGAGGCAGGAGAGAGCCTGCCTGGCCTGGGAACGGTGGGAGGGCGATGGAGCCCGGGTCCAGGAAAAGTGCCGGGTGAGGTCGGGGTCCCAGAACCCACTGTCTGGACCCTCTGCCTCCTTGGCCCACTTTGCTCCCGCCGAGGGGCAGGCCCCAGCCCAGCTGCCCAAACGGATGCTCTGACATCAGAGAGAAGGAATGAGGATTGTGAAAAGTGTCTGTGAACGAGCGGCATGAAGTCGGAGGCCTCAGGGACAAGAGAATGTTGGTCTTCAGATCCAAACTGTCGACCCTAAGCCCCGTGTGGGAGATCTCCTGGGAGCATCCGGGCCCGTCACACATTCCAGGACCGAGCGGCAGCCACAGCTGCAGCCGCAGCTGCCAGAACAGCCTGGCTCTCGCCCCGTGTGCGGGGAGGGCAGGGCCGGAGGGCTTCCTCTGGGGCCTGAGTGAGCTCACCCTCCCCGAGCGCTGACCTCATCCATCCGAGGCTGCTTGGCTGAGAGCCCAGGCAGTGGAGGGGCTCTCTCCCATGACAGGCCCTGGGCCACCTGCAGATTGGGGGTGGGGAGTGGAGGAGCGGGGGGATGTGTTTCAGGCCTAACCCAGCTCCCCAGAAATCAGGGAATGCATATGGAGCTATGAAATATCAGGGGGCTTTAAGAAAAAAAGATGGGGGGGAGGGGGCGTCCAGGGGGTGGTAGTGGTGGGGAGGAGAACACTGTTTTTTTAAGGCAGAAAAATGCAAGGGAGTGGAGCTTTTTTTCTCCATTTGTTCTTTGGCAATCCCACCCGAGAACTTCAGGGGTCATGCCGATGACATCATGTCTTGTAACAAAGAACGCTCAGTCATCCTGTGGCATGGAACCCCTGCCTGCACCATGTTTCTGATGGGAGCTGCTTTATTATCTGTGTGTGGAAAGCCGTGTTTTATTGTCACATTTAAATGAGGGTTTAATAGTCTTCAATATCTACCACCAGTAGATTCCAAGGCGTGAAGATCACAGGAAGTGAACTTCGCTTCCCCGCATCACAGACATTTGGAGTACAAAAAAGTCCGGGGATGGAGAGGACACGTAAGAAAGGTACGAAAGAAGTTTGCTTTAAAAAATAACCCCAAAAAGTGTAAAACTTGATTTCCCCCCCCAAAGTACAAATAACTGTGGTCTAACCATCGGAGTAAAGGCTTCCTTGGCTCAGTCCTTGGATAGGAATTAGTTCGTGCACAACTGTCTATCCCAGGGTGTGTGTGTGCAAGAGACACGCACAAACACGCACCACACACACACACACACACACACACACCCCGCAGAGACAGACACACAGCTGAGGTTTTGATGTCCTAGGCACTTCAGATCCATGTTCTTAAGTCTGCCGCCTGCCCGTTGCATGTGGCACGTTACTTCTTGGGAGGCAGGACGTTTTCCTCAAAGAAGCCCTGGTTGACGACGTTCCCCGCCGGGAAGTATCGAGCAACCACGAAGGAGGACCCGTCACTGGCAGAGGCCTTTCCCACGCCCATCTTCTTTGTGTTCTTCCATATCATGGCCGTGAAGTGCCCTGCAGGGGAGCGGTCAGGGGGAGAGGGACACAGGTTAGTTAGAAGTGTCTGGAGAAGGATGTTGCAAGAGATTCTTGGGCTACCGTACCATCTCGCCAGGCTCAGGGAAGCCTGATCTTCACGGACGCCAATCAGAGACACGAGACACAAAACAGACCGACTGCCTGGTTTCCTACAGCATCAGGTCCTCTCCGCCCGCCTCACCACGTACGGACCCCCAAAGGTGTTGTGGCCTCCCAGAAACGGTGACAAACCCAAGTTACCCCAACCGTTAGGATACCACCTTACCTCGAACCTGCCCTCAACCCTCCCCCGAACGGCACTCCTCAAAGTCACCAACCATCTCCACGTTCCTCTCCAAGGGTCCCTTCTTGTCTTCATCTTCCTCGGCGTCTCAGGAACCAGTTAAACACTAATTCCCATGAGGGTGACTCCTCTCCTTCTCAAAGCACTCCCCTCAGGGGGTTCCGTGATGCCACCTCTTGCCAATACCCCCTCTCACTGCCTCTTCCTCCTCCTCTTGGTCTCACTTGTAAAAGCTGGAGGGCTTGCACTTCCCTAGGCTCAAACCTGGGCTCGCTGTTCTTGCTGCACTTCTTAGGCAATTCCATCTCTCCCTGGCTCCCAGATTTGTTTCTCCAGCCCAAACCTCTCCTCTGTGCTCCAAACACAACCACTTACTGGACATTTCCACTTGGATGACTCACAGACATCTCAAGTTTAACCTCACTCTTGATTCTGGTCCGCCCAGAGTTATCCTTCTCCCTGCCCTCCCACTTCCTTTCACGACAATGCTATGCACGCAATCCTGGGGATAGGTCTGTGTTCCTCACCCTCCTTCCTTTCCCCACAACAACCCGATCCTGACAAACCTAACTGTAAAAGACATCTCAAGTCCATTCACACTGTATCCACAAAAATGTCCCTATCCACAAACTTTTCTCACTTGGACCATTGCAATAGTCCCCTGGCTGGTTCCCCAGCTTCCACCTTTGCCTTCTCAGATTCACTTGTTGCTTAAGTAGCCAGAGGGATCATGTTGTGACTAAGTCGGATCTGTTCCTCCCCTGCCTATTAACAGTCCTCTGAATGCTTCCAATTGCTCCCAGAATGAGAGAGAGTGCTTTGGATCAGCGGCCTCTCTGCCACTCCTTGAACCCCCAGGTTACTTCCCCCCACGGAGCCCTGGCACACACTGGTGTGGAATACGCTTCTGACGACTAATGTTTCCTTGTCCCTTAGGCCTCCATCTTTTTCTCTTTTTTAAAAAACATATTTTATTGATTTTTTTTTACAGAGAGGAAGAGAGAGAGACAAAGAGTTAGAAACATCAATGAGAGAGAAACATCGACCAGCTGCTTCCTGCACACCCCCTACTGGAGATGTGCCCGCAACCAAGGTACATGCCCTTGACCAGAATCGAACCTGGGACCTTTCAGTCCGCAGGCTGACACTCTGTCCACTGAGCCAAACCGGTTTCGGCTAGGACTCAGTCTTAATGACACTGGTTCAGAGAAACCTTTCACAATAACTTTCATTTCCTGAACATCTCCCTCCCAGTCTTAACACACCTGTGTTTTCCCTTCCTAACATTCTTACCATTTGCAATGTTAGATTTGATTACTGGCTTATTGCTTGGCTTCTTCATGAAGCTAGAGGGCCCCACATGGATAGGCACCAAATTGTTTTATTCACCAAAGTATCCCCAGGACTCTGGCACGGCCTGCACACGCCACTTTTACTGACTGAGTGAATGGAGTGAGTGAGGGAATGGGTGAATGGAAGGCATGGGAAAGAATCCTCCTGGACTCAGGCTCTGCTTTCACCAGAAGGGCAGGCCTGCTATGAACTCTTTGAGACCTTAACAAGGTAGAGCCTCCTTCAATTCCCTCTGCTCTCAGTCACACAGAACAGATCTTTCTCAAGGACTGAATATTGAAGGGGGGTGGGGGGAGAGACACCAAATGTCCATCAATAAATGAATAGATAAGTAAAATGTTGCATATATATACAATGGAATATTATTCAGCCTTAAAAAGGAATGAAATTCTAACGTGTGTTACAACCTGGATGAACTTGAGGACATGATGCTAAGTGAAATAAGCCACACAAAAGAACAAATACTGGAGGATTTCCCACTTATATAAGGTTCCTAGAATAGTCAAATTCATAAAGACAGAAAACAGAATGGTTGAAATGATAGCCGAAACCGGTTTGGCTCAGTGGATAGAGCGTTGGCCTGCGGACTGAAAGGTCCCAGGTTCGATTCTGGTCAAGGGCATGTACGTTGGTTGCGGGCACATCCCCAGTAGGGAGTATGCAGGAGGCAGCTGATCGATGATTCTCTCTCATTGATGTTTCTAACTCTCTATCCCTCTCTCTTCCTCTCTGTAAAAAATCAATAAAACATATTTTAAAAATAAATAAAATTAGGTATACGAGTAGTTTATTTATTTGTCTACATACAAAAAAAAAAGATTTCCTTTTTGAAAATAACCAAACATAAACACCAATCAATAGCATTGATGTGATTTGGTCCACGCAGGAATGAAAAGAAAGCAGACCTTAAGGACCACTATGCATCTTTTCTGCTAATCCGTCCACTTGTACTAACCGTCACCCAACAAAACTCCGATTTCCACCTCAGAGCAGAGAGGCACGTCTGGCCGGGTCACCCTGGCCCTGAGGGTTGTGAGCCGCAGCTCCAGGCTGTTGGCAGCTCTGCCATGAGCCACCGCTTCTGCGTGCTGTCTCTCCCTCCAGGCCCAGGTCCTTCCCCACCCCGGCCTTTTCTCTCCACAGACCACACGCTGTGGCCACAGACCCACCCGCGCCCTGTCACCCAGGAAAGGAAGAGAGAGCTGCTGTTTACCCACTGGTTGCCAAGAATCTGATTACAGACACAACAGGAGCCTCGGCAGCCTGAATGCCTGCGGCAGCCTTTTGCCAACAGATGAGACTCAGCTATCTTCTGGCAGGGAGGTTTCTGTCCACACGGAGATAACGGAGGATGGTATTCAGAGACCAATTAAAGGACACGACTTCCTTAGCAACCATCAGACACACACTGGTTTCTAACCCTAAACAACCAACAGCTTGCTGTTTCTTTTTCTCTCAGTGGAGCACACCCTCCTTCCTGCTCTGGCCCAGGCTTCCCGGTCAGCACACGTGGCAAACACACGGAGTGACGGTGCAGCTCTGCGAGGGGATCGTGTGCAACGGCGAGGCAGGAGGAGAAAGCTCTTTGTGTCGACAGGGAGCCATCTCTCCCGACCTGCTGTGTGAAGGAAGGCGGTGCAAACCGGATCACAGCAAAAGAAACACAATCACACATCTACACAAACGCCGGCACGCGCTCCGAACAGCTCTGACCGATGCCTGAGCCTGGCACACGGGTTGGCCAGCGATGGCCGGAGGGCTTTCCCCTCACACGGCTCACACACATGCCATGTGGAAGCATTACTAGCTCAGGACACACAAGCAAACACACCTGCTCGTGAAAACAGAACGTAACCAAGGAACTGCAAGAAACCATTTCCCTCCGCTCAGCCCTCAGCTTAGAACTGTGTTCTTTCTTCTTCTTCTTCTCCTCCTCCTCCTCCTCCTCCTCCTCCTCCTTCTTCTTCTTCTTCTTCCTTCTTTTACTGTTTTAAGTATTACTAATAGGAGTACATATGTCTCCTTTCTTTGTGTTCTTTACCATAAGATGCTCACAGGGGTGGGTGGCTGGGAGAGATGAGAGACATTTCAAAGGCCCTTTCACCTGCACCGTGAACGTAGGCCAGGGGATCTCACAGCAATGGCAGCTCTGGGGGTGGGAGACGGGCCCGCAGAGCGTTAAGGGGCTTGCGAGCCCTGATTATAACTCCCCCCCAAACCTGTGCTCCTGCCCTAGGTCAGGCTCCGTCTAGCCCCAGGCACCGCCCGCGGACACCTGGGGTGACACAGGGACTAGCTCTGCCGGGGCTTTCCTCTTTAGGGGGGAATATGGAGCTATGGGTGGGACGGGTGGTCAGTGGTCACAGAGAGCCGAGTCCCGTTCCTGGCTCAGCTTCTGTGTTCCCTATCGATACGAAAAGAGCTTCCGCCGAGACCGGTTTGGCTCAGTGGTAGAGCGTCGGTCTGCGGACTGAAAGATCCCGGGTTCGATTCTGGTCAAGGGCATGTACCTTGGTTGCGGGCACGTCCCCAGAAGGGGGTGTGCAAGAGTCAGCTGGTCAATGATTCTCTCTCATCGATGTTTCTAACTCTCTATCCCTCTCTCTTCCTCTCTGTAAAAAAGTCAATAAAATATATATATATATATATATATATATATATATATATATATATATATATATATATAAAAGAGCTTTCCCCTTCTTCCTTCCTGTGGCTCGTTATTCCCTTGCAGAGATCTACTATTATAGATCCGTGCTCGGTTCCTGCCGAGGAGCAGGGCCGTGGACAGAGCATCGGGCTGAGGACGGGCCGGGCAGAGAGGTCTCTCCCCGTTCCTGGGGCTCCGTGTCCTGTGCAAAGCGAGTGCAGAAGCCCCTCCTCCACACGGCGCGGCAAGGCCTCCAGGCCGAGGGGCGGGGAGCAGAGCGCATCGCGGGCTCTCACACGTGTCCCAGTCCCCGCCACCCTGCTCCCCGCGGAAGCGGATCCAGACGCCATGGAACCAAACGGCTCCCAGACACGGACGGGTCTTGGTGAAAAGGACCCGGGCTCTGCCAACAGCTTCAGTCACCGGGAGGAGGTGGGGGCTCACGGGGGGAACGGGAGGCCACAGCCATCGCTTCCCCTGCGGCCGGCAGCGGCCTCCTCGGCCCGCGTGCCCAGGGGAGAGGCACCAGCAGATGTTGATGCCTGCCCACAAGGTTGCAAGAACTCCTGCCCGAAAGGGCGAGCAGAAAACCACAGGAAACAGTGACTGGTTCCGAGAACATGTCACTTCCTGCTTCTGAAGAAGCTCCGAGGGTCGGAGGCCGTGAGCGCTCCACCCATGGGTGGGGTGGGCCGAGGAGAGGGATCGGGTGGGGAGAGGATCCCTTCTTCCGCTTTTCTGGGGCCTCTGGTGAGGGAGACCCACAGCCCCTCCCCTGCCATCCTGGGCCTCAGGCGCATCTGAGGAGAGACAGGAGCCCGGGAGGCCTGGGGGGGCGGGACCGGAGCTCAGGGGTGCTGACGGGTGGAGTGGGTGAGTTACATGTCTGCCGCTCACAGTGGAGGCCGACGAGAAAGTCGGCTCCTCCTGCATCTAAACTCCAGCCCCAGAGTGTCCTGTGGAGACCCACCTCCTCCCTCTCCCTCTAAGACGGGGAGGACGGGGACGTGGACCCACGTTCACCCAAACAGCAGTGCCAGGGCGGAGACTAGCTCCCGGGGTTCTGTGCCCAGAGCTCACTGGCCCCTCAAACTGCAGCTGCGGGTGGAAGGAGGAGGAATGCCCTGAGGCCGCTGGGCAGGAAGGAAGCGGTTGAAGGGAGGAGGGGGTAAAGGGTTAAAACCGAGAGACAGCGGCTGGCCCTTTCCCCGGAGGGCCCCCCCCCCCCCCCAAGCCACTGGCGTCACTCAGGAGAGCCACACGGGCAGAGAGGCCTGGGGACACTCTGGGGCCGGGGGCAGGCGGCTCAGGAGCCGGCAGCAGGGCGACCGGATACAGGGCTGAGGCCCGGCTTCTGGAAAGAAGCGCTCGGCAGCTTTAATACGCTCAGCCCTTCCACAGGCCAGTCACCCGAGAAATGGAGCTGGCGGGCGACAGCATCCGCCTGGGAGCTTGGCTGGAGGGTGTGTGTGTGTGTGTGTGTGTGTGTGTATGTGTGTGTGTATGTGAGTGTAGCTGGAGGGTGTGTGTGTGAGTGTGTGTGTATGTGTGTGTATGTGTGTGTGTGAGAGAGTGTGTGTATGTGTGTGTGAGTGTGTGTATGTGTATGTGTGTGTCTCTGTGTGTGTATGTGTGTGTTGTGAGTTTGTGTATATGTGTGTGTATGTGTGCGTGAATGTGTGTATGTGAGTGTGTGTATGTGTGTGTATGTGTGTGTGTGAGTCTGTGTGTGAGTGTGTGTGTATGTGTGTGTGAGCGTGTGTATGTGTGTGTATGTGTGAGAGAGTGTGTGTATATGTGTGTATGTGAGTGTGTGAGAGTATGTGTATATATGTGTGTATTCGTGTGTATGTGTGTGTATGTGTATGTATGAGAGTGTGTGTGTGAGTGTGTGTGAGAGTGTGTGTGTGTGTGTGTGAGAATGTGTGCGTGTGTGTGTGTGTATGTGTGAGAGTGTGTGTGTGTATGTGTGAGTGTGTGTGTATGTGTGTGTATGTGAGTGTGTGAGAGTGTGTGTATGTGTGTGTATGTGTGTGTATGTGTATGTATGAGAGTGTGTGTGTGAGTGTGTGTGTGAGAGTGTGTGTGTGTGTGTGTGTGTGTGTGAGTGTGTGTGTGTGTGTGTGAGTGTGTGTGTGTGTGTGTGTGTGTGTGTGTTGGGGAAACAGGGTTCCACCCTTTGGCAGCGTGAAATCGGAGAACGATGGGAGAGGTAGGACAGGAGGAAATGATCGCTTTCCGGGGTTGGTTCCTCTGACCCCCACCGTCCCGGGGGCCGTGGTGCCCCAGCCACTCACCGGTCCCGGAGGTGAAGCCCGGCTGCTGGAAGTTGTAGTTCTTGATCTCATCGTACCACCTGTCCGCCACCTCCTGTCCTGCGTGGGAGACACCGAGGCTCAACAGCAAAGCCAGCCACCGCCCCCTCCGTCCGCCCCCTCGCCGCAGGCCCCGCGCCCCAGAGGCCTGAGGGAGCGCCAGGAGCTGGAACGGGCGCCCGCCCGTGGGCACCGCCAAGCTGAGAGGCGCCTTGGGAAAGGGGACCTGATGTCTCGATTTTTAACAATTTGTCACGGGACAAAATGTTAAGAATTGGAGCTGTCCCACCCACAGCGGGACATCTGGTCACCTCAGCCTTGGGGTGGAGGAGCCTCGGCCTGGGGTCACCCTCATCTGTTCCTCGCCCGCCACGCACTGGCTGGGGATCCCAAGCAAGGCCTCCCCGCCCTGGCCCCGTAAGGAGGGTTAAGGGCCATGTACCCCACGGGCCTCCGATGGTGCTCCCCGTCCTCCAGAGCCCCCTCAGCCCACCCCAGCCTGGCCCCTGGAGCAGCCGCAGGGGGGAAGGCAGGGGCTGCGGGGCCCGGGCCTCCCGGCTGCAGGGGGTCCTCACTGGGAGCACCCGGGCCGGACGGGCCGACGGGAGGGAGCACAGCGCTGCCCGGGGAGCTGCGGTCTCAGGCCGGAGCCAGAGGAGCCTTGGGGCGAGCTCGGACATGTGCCGGCGTCACCGGGCTCCGGCTGAAAGGCGGGGCAGAGCGGGGGGGGGGGGGGGGGGCGCCACCATCGGGTGGGCACCTATCTCTGGAGGAGGCCCCGCGTTGGTGGGTCTGAAAAGCACCAACGATCCTGCTGTGCAGCCAGCAGGGAACCGCGGCCTTAGCGACCCCTTGCCCTGCCCCTCTCAGCAGAGAGGGAAACTGAGGCCAGAGAGGGGAAGGCCTTGCTCCTGGCTCCCCAGGGAGCCAGTTCAGGGCCGGGAGGGAGCCCGCTCTCCTACTGGCTCCTCCCCATCCCTCTCCCTCCTCCCGGCCTGGGGGGCGGCTGCAGGCTGTGGACTCTGCCTTCGGCGGGACACACACACACACACACACCCACACACACCCCTCCGGGAAGGCGGGAGCTGGGGGACCGGGAGGGCCCTGGCCTCCCCGGGGAGCTCGGGAATGCGAGGCCGGAGGGAGGAGCCTCTCCCACGGGCTGCAGAGGCTGCAGGGGCGGGCGGTGCCGCCAGCACTTTTCCGGAAAAGCCGGGCTGGGCTGTGGGCGCAGGGGGCTCAGGCCTGGTCAGTGCGGCCGGCGGCCACGCAGGCTGCGCCCTCATGAAGGGCTGTCTTGCCCGTGATTGTGATTTTCTCTCTGACATGTGGAAAGCACACACACCCGCCTTGTACACAGCTGTCTGAGGGGAGTGTGACGGGAGCCAAGTTCTCCTGTAGCCGGCGTGAGGGTGGGGGGGTGCCGGGGGGAGGGGGGCAGGGTGAGGCTGGCCTGCACAGAGGCCTGTGCCCGCACCCTGCTCCTGGGCTGGGAGCTCCTCCGAAAGGGGGTCCGGGCGGTCTGACCCCTCTGTCCCTGGCAGCAGCACAGGCCTGGCCCCCCGGGGCGCTGCGGTGGCTGCCCCCACCCCCCACCCTCTGCCCCGAGCCCGGAGCTCTGGGTTCCCCTCGGCTCTGCTCTGCGCCTGTGGCTGCCCCATCGCCTGGCTGCACATGGAGGGTGAGGGCCCAGGAGGGGCTGGAATGTAGCTGCGGAGGGCAGGGGGGCGGGCGGAGGGCGGGGGGGCGGGCGGAGGGCAGGGGGGGGGGTGCCGGGCGGAGGGAGGGGGGCCGGGCCCAGGCCGGGCAGCGGAGGAAGCACCCACCTGGCTGATCGTAGGACGCCCAGGCCAGGTTCTCCCCGCACTGGCCGCGGCTGGACTCGGGGCTGTGCTTGAGGATCCGGGTGCTGGCCAGCGCCTCCGAGTACCTGCGGGCACGGGGTTTGCTCAGGGGCCGCCCGGCAGGCCCCGAGCAGGAGCCCTGAACCCTAGACTGGCCTGGCCACGCGTCCTCCTGGGCTCCTGGGCTCCGGGAGCCTCACGCTGAGCCCGAACGGCCCAGGGGGGCCCGCTGAGGCTCAGGGAGCAAAGGGCCTGCGGGGGCGTCATTCTCGGCTGAGCGACTCTGCCCCCCCCTCCCGGGCCCCCTGACTGCCCCCCCCCCCCCCAGGGCCGCCGGCGCACTCACTGCTGCGCCTCCCGGTTGAGCTTCTTGCACAGCTTCAGCGGGGGGACGCCATGCCGCTGCCGGTACTCGTTGTGGGCCCGCAGGACCTCGTTGTTAAACTGTTTGGAAGCTGCAACGATTCCAAAACGGAGCCGGTCTCAGTGCAGGGAGAGACCCCCCAGACCTGTCAGTGCCCGGGGCAAACGGACAGGGGATGGAGTGCTCCCCACCCCTGCCCACCCCGTCCCCATCCCTCACCCCTCTGCCCACCTGTCCCCGTCCCTCATCCCTCTGCCCACCCTGTCCCCATCTCTCACCCCTCTGCCCACCCCGTCCCCATCCCTCATCCCTCTGCCCACCTGTCCCCATCCCTCACCTCTGTGCCCACCTGTCCCCATCCCCCACCCCTGTGCCCACCTGTCCCCATCCCTCACTCCTCTGCCCACCTGTCCCCATCCCTCACCCCTGTGCCCACCTGTCCCCATCCCTCACCCTTCTGCCCACCTGTCCCTATCCCTCACCCCTCTGCCCACCCCGTCCCCATCCCTCACACCTCTGCCTACCTGTCCCCGTCCCCATCTCTCACCCTTCTGCCCACCCCGTCCCCGTCCCTCACCCCTCTGCCCACCCCGTCCCCATCCCTCACCAATCTGCCCACCCCGTCTCCATCCCTCACCCCTCTGCCCACCTGTCCCCATCCCTCACCCCTCTGCCCTCCTGTCCCCATCCCTCACCCCTCTGCCCTCCTGTCCCCATCCCTCACCCCTCTGCACCATGGATTACGCAGGGCCCTATGCAGGGATCTGGGTCTTTACCCAAAGCTACGGGAAGCAACTGATTGGGGGCAGAGGAGAGAGCTGGTGAGATGGGTGTTTCCGAAAGACCCTGCTGGCTGCTGAGTGGAGGGTGGGCCAGGGGTGCAGAGCAGATGGGGTGGGGGTGGGGGTCCTGGGCGGTGAGCAGTGGGACTTCTGAAAGAAAGTGTTTGCGGGAGACTGGACACCTCAGACCGGACCTGTGGTGCCTGGTGGGGACTGGGCCGGACTGGAGGTGGGCCGGGAGGAGGGGTCCCCTGGCTGGGCTGGAAAAATCAGGAAGTCAGAGGGACAGAGGGAGAAAAAGGACCAGGAAGGACAGCGTGGGGAGGTGGATGCGGGGAGAGGGGGGAAAAGAATGAGGTGGTGCGGGGTTCAGAGATGCCCTGAGGGGTGGAACGGAGCCTGTGCTCAGTGGGGTCATGACCTTGGAGAGGGCAGTTCGGGGGGCTAGGATAGGAAAGAGTAAGTGGGTGAGGCCAGGTCGGCAAGGTCAATAGTGGACAGAAGTCACATCAATCTGGATCTGGAATGGAACCCCATCTACCCAACACGCCCGTCCATCTCTCCATCATCCATCCATCCATCCATCCACCCATCCATCCACCCATCCACCCACCCATTCACCCATCCACCCACCCATCCACCCATCCATCTATCCATCCATCCATCCATCCATCCATCGCTCTGTCTCTCTGCAGCAGCAGCATCCACCCAGCCCCACCCTGTCCCCGTGCCCTCTGAGCTCCTCCTGTACCAGGGCCCGTGTGGTGTGCGAGGGGCCGGGGACAGCAGCCACGTCCTGCCCCGAAGAGCTCACACCCAGAGGGGAGACCGCCTGCCGCAGGGTGCTGGGCCCCGGGCAGAGGAGCACGGGCGCCAGCGGAACAGAAAAGCAGCCTGGCAGGGTCTGGGGTCTCAGGAAGGAGGTGGCCCCAGGCAAGAGGCCGAGCTTGTGTCAGGAAGGCCCTGAGTGAGGCTGCCGGAACCCGGGAGTGCCCCTCCCTCCATGGAAATGGGGGAACTGGGGGAGTTAGCAGTGAGGGCTACAGAGAACCCTCAAACTGAGCTCGTTCCATTGGGCAGGAGCCTGTCCCAAAGGCCCGGCTGAGGGCGGGAAGGGAGTAAACTGGAGAATGGAAGAAGCATCGGTTAGCAGTGTGGCTCAGTGGATAGAGCGTTGGCCTGCGGACTGAAAGATCCCGGGTTTGATTCCGGCCAAGGGCACGTGCCCGTTTGTGGGCTTGAACCCCAGTGGGGGGCATGCAGGAGGCAACTGATCAATGATTCTCTCTCATCATTGATGTTTCTGTCTCTCTATCCCTCTCCCTTACTCTATGAAATCAATAAAGACATATATCTATATCTATCTATCTATCTATATCTATATATCTATATATCTATATATCTATATATCTATATCTATATATATATATATATATATATATATTTTTTTTTTTTTTTTTTTTTAAGAAAAAAAGCATCATCGGTTATTCCTGCCATTACCCCAGGTCACATTCATCCTCTGTCCTCTTCCTCACTGTCTTTTCACCTCAAGCCCGGGGCAGGTAAGCGATCAGGGAACCCCTTCCCCTCTCTCAGCCAGAACCCCCGTGTCTCCTGGGCCTTCAAATCCAGTTCTCGGGCCCGGAGGCGGACTTGAGGGGAAGGAGGCCAGAACTAGCCCTCGGGAGCCTCTGGCCAGATGCCACCCCAGGGGAGGTGCCGGCAGCTGCCAGCTGTGGGGGCAGAGCTGTCCGAGGGGCTTTGGGTGGGCTGAAGAATGAGTGGCGCCGACCCCGAGGACGGTGGCGCCCACAGGGCAGTCCAGTGAGGTCCGGGCCCAGGGACGTGGGCAGGACAGGGACGCGGAGCCATAGACAGGCAGCCCGGAGAGCCAGGCTGCCGGCTGAGGGCCCGCAGTCCCCTTGGCAGAGGCTGCTAAAAACTAGGTCACTGCGCTCCCAGAACATGGGAAGTCAAGAGAAATAAAAGTGAAAGTTCCTGTGCTCACGGTAAGCTCCTGCCCAGTCCCACCAGGGCCAGTCCTGGGGCTGGGCTCCCAGGAAGGGGGTCAGAAGAACTTCCTGGTAATCAGGGCGGGAGCCCTCCCTCCCCACCCTTCCCCCCCACCCCTGCCCAGGGGTCCCTCCCAGCACCCAGCACCCAGCCAGGCCCAGCCTGGGTGGCTCCTCACAGCGGCCTCGGCCCCAGGGAGGCCAGATAGACCGGTGTCCACACCCAGCCAGAGGCACACCCGCTTCGGTGGAAAAGCCAGAGGACAAAGATAAACATGAGAGAAAGGTCAGAGGGGACCTACCCTTCCCCGCCTCACAGGGAGGGCCTCCCGGCCAGGCAGCCCACAGCGGGGAGAGGGACCCTGTCCTCACAGGAGGGCCCAGGAGGAGGCTTTCGGGGTGCCAGCCCGGAACGAGGGAGCCCTTCCTGCCCGGGGGGGGGGGTGGGGGGGTGGGGAGGGGGGGCTGTGCGCCCGCCCCTTTACTGCTCCCCACCACGTGGGGGAGCTGCCCATTGATTAAAATGGGGAAACTGAGGCTCAGGGCAGGAGGTGACCCAGACACATTCCCACAACTGGTTCTTCACCCCATGCCCCCTCCAAGGGACGCGAGTCAGAGGAAGTCACCGAGACAGCGGGTGGACCAGACCCGGAGGCGGGCCGGGCTCGGAGAGGCGGGCAGCGGGCTTCAGATGAGAAAAGAGCTGAGGTTTCAGACCTGCCTACGGGCCCCAGGGGAGCTGCAGGGGGAGAAGCTCCTGGGGCAGGTCTGGGGGAGCCGCTGGGAGGTGGAGGGGCTGTCTGGGCTGAGGGGAGAGGGAAGGGGCAGGGCTGAGCTGCCTGCAGGAGTGGAGGGCACAGGTCTCTCCGATGGGGCTGACCTGGGGGCTCTGCAAGGTCCTTTGGGGTCTGGGCTTCTAAATGCCAAAGCCTCTAGGAGGTCTGTGCCCCTCCTTCCCTCCCGCCTCTCTGCTGGCCAGCACAGGGTCCTCCCTCAGCATCTGTCCTCCTCTGAGGCCGCCCAGAGACCAGCCTGGCTCACCTCTCCCCCCACTCCCCTCCAGGGGCCCAGGATGTCAGAGGCCGGGGCAGGGAGCGTAGGCAGGCCCCTCTGCCCCTTGGCAAGAAGCTGGGATAAACACTTTTGCCACATGGTCCCCTCTCCAAACCAAAGCTTCATAACTAGCCCCACTGCAGTGTCAGCCCCTCCCAGGAGTGGAATTTTAAACCCATCAGTCTCGAATTGAATTTCCTGATCCCTAATGAGGCGAACCGCCTGATAAGACCTGCTGATTCCCTCAGGGGAGATGACCTGCCTAAAATAGCCCGCCTTTTAACTTCTTAGCCTCGCCCTCCTCATGCCTAGAAAAACCTTCCTATTGCTAGAAAGCAGCAAGCCCCAGGAACTGCTGACGGAAGCCCATTAGATCTTCAAAGCCCTGGTCCCACCTCTGGGGTAAAACTGGTTTATCGGGAAGAAAGAATAAAAAGTTGAGGTGTGTGTGTGTGTGTGTGTGTGTGTGTGTGTGTGGTGGCGGGGGGAGCAGTTTCTGTTCCAGGGTTCCAGGAAATTCAAGAGGCAAATACCAGCTCTGCCTCTGACTGGCTGTGTGATTTTGATCAAGTTGCTTAATCCCTCTATGCCTCATTCCCCACCCACCACCCTCGCCCCCCACAGAAAAACAGAGATAGCAGAGTCTACCTCACAGGGCTGCGGTGAGGATGGAAAGAACTAATCTACGTCATTGCTTTAGGAGAGTTGTGGAACGCAGTGAACAGCTATGCGGTATCATTACCAACAAAGCCTCATCTTTGGGAGAGGCTGTCCCATCGGATCCCATCCCTGATTTCCTTGGAATCAGGACTGCTGGTATTTGTATCAATCTTTAAAAAAACAAAAAACAGCCGGGATCGGTTTGGCTCAGTGGATAGAGCGTCGGCCTGGGGAATGAAGGGTCCCCGGTTCGATTCCAGTCAGGGGCATGTACCTTGGTTGCGGGCGCATCCCCAGTCGGGGGTGTGCAAGAGGCAGCTGATCAATGATTCTCTCTCATCGATGTTTCTAACTCTCTATCCCTCTCTCTTCCTCTCTGTGAAAAATCAATAAAATATATTTTAAAAAAATAAAATAAAAAAACAAAAAACAACCTGTATTTTTATTGATTTCAGAGAGGAAAGGAAAAGGAGAGAAAGACAGAAACATCAATGATGAGAGAACATCCTTGCTCGGCTGCCTCCTGCGCGCCCCACACTGAGTTTCTATGATACCTTGCCATCCGGGCAGGTGCCCTGACCAGGAACTGAACCGTGACTTCCTGGTTCATAGTTTGACGCTCAACCACCGAACCGGACCAGCCGGGCTCTCTCAATCTCCGATGACCTCTTTCCGCACCTCCGAGCTCAGATATTGGCAGGTGAATGAGTAAGCAAGCGAACTGGACCACAGTCTTCTCTCCACCGATGAGGAAGCTACCGACTCAGGGAGCACATGTGAGTTTTGCAATTTCACACAGTGAGTCCACATTCGAGCCAGACCTAAGAGCAGCCTCCTGTTTCAAATCTCTCATCCTTTCCTCTTTACGTTACTTCCCTTTCCCTAAGCAAGATGGCGGTGAGTGGTTCCCGACTGCTCCTTGGCAGATAACCGGCACCGAGGGACTGAGGAGCCAGGACAGCCCGTGCCCTTCTCCAGCCCTGCCCGTGGCCAACCACGCAGGCCTGCGGGGGCGCCGGGCAGTCCCTGCCTCTCTGGGTTCCACATGCCCATCTGTGTGGGAAGGAAGTATGACATCTGTGGTTTTTTTTTGGTTTGTTTTTTCAAAAACGCAGGGAAACCCTTTCTTTGAACTCCCCCCCCCCCCCCCCCCGCAGCAAAACCACCAGATGAAAATGGAACAGCTGGAACTGATGTGGCCCCCACAGCCACACCCTGCAGAGGTGTCAGGCCCCGCTCAGTAGGAAATTCCTGGGCTAGCTGGTCCCTAAGTGCTTTCTGCTCTGATGGCAGGGGTGGGTGGAGGGGACATTGAGATTTTCAGAGGTAATCAGAGGGGTGCCGAAGTCCCTACTGAGCCAGAGCCCGGGCTGAGGAGGAGGCAGGGAGCAGGCGGCAAGAGATCAGGTGGCAGGGGAGAAAGCCCACATTCGGGAAGTCGGGGAGCTGGCTTCAAATCCCAGTTTGTCCACTTACTGGTCAAGGTCCGAGTGTGGGCATGGTACTCAACCTCTAAAAATCTTTACAATTGATAGAAAGTAGCTCCAAGCCTGGCGTGCACCAGGAGCTTAACAATTGGTAAGTCACTATATTAGGGGCTAGATGTTTCCACGAAGCCCATGGCCTGTGCTGAAGGCCACTGTCTTTCTCTGCCCCCAGCACAGTTGCTGCAAACTAAGCCCAGCAAGGTGGGCGACGGACCTGAAGTCTCTGAACACTGGGCTGAGCATCTCCTGGGAGGAAAGCTGTGCCAGCTCAGTACCAGTTTCCCAGCAATGCCTACCAACCCCAAGTAGCTCTGTGGTTCCTCTGAGATTTAAGATTAAAAGGAGTCAAGCTCCTATGAGGAAACAAAGGCACAGAAGAGGCAGGGACTAGCTCCTTACAACGGTCTTTATGAAACCACACCAAGCCCCTTATGGCTACACGTGTGTGAGCGCTACGGGCCTGCAGCGCAGACCTCTGGCCGGTGGCCTGCAGCCTCGGGGTTGGGCCTGCACTGAAGGCCCGTGGGGCCTGGGTTACCTGGAAAGGTCACTTTCTCGTGGAGACCCTTAGGGGAGCCAGCCTTTGGGGGCTTCCAGTCTTTGGGAGAGACAAATACAGCGCATGTGGCTATGAGGGCCAGCATTCTGGAAGGTCCCTGGTTGTGTGTATGTGTGTGAGGGGCGGGGAGGGGAGGAGGGAGGCGAGAGGGGGTGGTACCTGCCTGAACCAGCTCTAACCTGCCCTCTGCCACTGCCCCCTTCCTCGGAAACCTGCTTGATTCTGCATCTTCAGTCTGAGAAGGTGTCACCACCATCCCGCACCCAGGCATACCTGTGGCACTTGGCTCTCATTTACAAGTCGGTCACCACAATTGGCTTATGGGTGCCGCCTCCCAAACCCATCCTTCCCCCTCTCCAGTTGCTTAGAGCCTCTGTCATCCGTTAACTGAGTAACTGCAGCACCCTCTTCCTGCCCCCGCCTCTGCCCTGAGCACCTTCTTCCTGCCCCCCACCTCTGCCCTCTTCCCCCCTGACCCACCCCCTGCCACTTTCGGTTACCTCCTTTCTCTGGCACTCCAGGCCTCGGGGGTAAAGTCCAAATTCCCAAGATGCTCTGGGACCTGAGCACCTTCTCCAGGAGCCTCCAGCAGCCCCTTTGCAGAGGGATCTCTCCTTCCCCTGAGCTCCCACTGCTCACGCCTCCCCTGTCTACTGGTTTCCCGGCTCTGACTGAAGCACGTGAGGGCTCTCTCACTCCCCGATGATTAGACTCATTGATTCATTTCACAATCCAAACACACACGCCTGCGGACCAGGCTCATGCCCTCCGCGGCACGGAGTCCACAGTACACAGCTGACAGACGGTGGATGGATGGGGAAAAGGGCGGGACAGAGGGAGCGGGAAGGCAGGGAGAGATGGATAGATGAGTAATGAACGGAGAGATGAGTAATGGACAGGGCAGGAGAATTGCTCCTCAGGGGAGGAGCTCGCAACAACTGATGAAAATGTGGCTTTAGAGAGTTTGTGGTTTTTCTCTCAATCTACAGAGAAAGGAGTGGATTCCTTAAAATGCTTGCTCACAACTGCCGCGCTCTTGCCCCATCACCACCTACCGTCATTTTAGCCTCCTGACAACCCCTTACGTCACCTTCCCACACCGAGAAGGGCCCCGGGGGTCATTGGGCTGCCTCAGGGGCCAGGCGGGTAAGAGCCTTGCTCAGGATTACACGGCAGGTGGAGAGCACAGCCAGGGCGGCGAAGGCAGTGTGAGACCAACGCCAGGGGAGGCATGGGCCTCCTCGAGGCAGTAGCCAGGCCCAGATCGTCAGGGCCCCCATCTGGGGGGCGGCCAGGAGTGCGGTGTCTGTGCGAAGCAGGTCTATAGCTGGGCAGTGTCCCACGCTGACTGTTTAGAGAGGGGGGGCTGCAGCCAAGAAGAGACCTGCCCTCCTTTGGGGGGTGTTGTGGAGAAGGGGAAACCAGGGGCGGCCTCTCAGCCCGGAAGTTGAGTCTACAGGGATGGGGAAGATTTCAAACCTCAGAGACGTGGAAGGGGCAGTGATGGTGGGCGGTGCCGGGAAAGGGAGCCGGGGATGGGACAGGCGTGCTGGCCTCCGGAAGGCTGAGTGGAGGAGGTAAGAGGTGAAGAACACCCACTCTCGGGGGACCCCAAGTTGGGGCTGGAGAAGGTACTCTCTCACCTGCAGGCAATGGGAGGGGGGGTGTTGGGCGTGGCAGGGTAGGACCTGCATTTTAGAAAGTTCACTCGGGGCAGCCACAGGGCTGAGCAGGGGCCGCCACCAGGTCGGAGAAAAAGGGGAAGCAGGAGTCTGTGACCTGGTGGAGCCTGGCACCCACCCTGGCACCCACAGCCTGGCACAGAGGGGGCCTCAGGGAGAAGGATGCTCGAGCTGTCTGTCCCTCGGAGGGCTGGCGCCCGCCGCTCGGCGGGGAGAGATGCTGTCACAGTTTGGCTTTTCCCAGCTCCCAGCTCCGTCCGCCAGACACAAAGCAGCAGCCACGCCTCGGCCGGACCCTGGCGCCTGGAAGCCCTCCCTCCCGGCCGCCGTCTCCGATTCCCGGGCAGGGGCTCCCTCCCTCCATCCCCCTCCCCCCACTCCCTCTCCGGGGGCCCCACGGCCACCCCGGCCTCCCGCTGCCTCGGAAGCTGCCGCCGATGCGCCTCCGGGCGCTTCTCTCCCCGCGCCCTCCATCCCGCCCGGTCCCCGCCTGCAGCCCGCGCCCCGGCGGCCCGGCCCGGGAGCTCCGGCCGCGGGGAGGAGGCGGCGAGCATCCCGGAGCCCCGGCTCCGGCTCCGGCGGCCTCACCTGACTTGCCCATGGCCGGCTCGGCTCGCTCCGGGGCTCCCGCTGGCTCTGCGGTCCGGGCCGGAGCCGCTGGGGTAGCCCCGGGGGAGGGGGGGCCTCCGAGCCCCGCCCCGGCCCGCCCGCCGCCTTATAAGGAGCCGCCGCTGCCGCCCGGCGCCCGGGGCCACCGCCCGCCCCGGGGAGGCGCTGCGCCCGCGCCCCGAGCTCCCGCCGCCCCGGAGGCCCTGCCCGCGGGGCTGCAGGCACAGCCCGGGCTCCCCTGGTCCGGGGCCGGGGCCGCAGCCTGACCCTCACGGGACCGGCATCACGCGCCGCCCAGCCCCGCAGCTCAGTATCCGCCCGGCGGCTGCAGGGCCGGCGGTGCGCACCCCGGGGCGCTGGAGGCCGATCTGGCGGACCCGGAGCTCTCCCGCCGCCTGGCCCGGCCCAGGGACCCCGGGCAGGGCCGTCCTCCGCCCGGGACATTCCCTCTGGTGCGAACCCCGGTGGAGCTGGAGTGCGGGCTCACCTCTGCCGGCCCGAGTCCTCCCCATCCCTCGGGGCCTTCCTGGCCTTGGGGGCAGCGGTGGGCACTCGCCGGGCACTGGGAAGCCTGGGTCCCAGTGACGGCCCCGCCCTGGGTGAGAGGGCGCCAGCCTGAGGGCCCAGCCGAGGGCGACTCCCCGCAGTGACTGCCCTCTGGGCAGGGAGCTCAGCCCATGCTGACAGAAGGACGCTCATTGACAAACCTTCCAGTCCATGGGCACACTGAGCTTTAGCTTGTTGATTATAGGCGTATGGTGACCAGACGGCTGGCTTTTGGCGGGACAGTCCCAATTTTTAACAATTTTTCTCGTGTCCCGATTTTTGGGGACATCTGGTCACCTTATTATAGGACAACAGTAAGGCCGGGTGCTGCCCTGTTCACTCCCTCACCCTGTTATCAGGCAAATGCCTACTAGTTTGAGTACTTCCAGTGTCAGAGTGCTGGGAAGCATGCCTCATTCTGAGTCCAAAGGGACTTCTGGTGCGAGGCGGGCATCTGGCCGTTTATATTCAATTCTCGTTCCCATTTGCCAACAAATCCCCACGGACCTGGCCGGTATGTCACCTCTAGCATCTCTAGAAGGCTGCTTCCCTCCTAATCGAAACAGGCTACAGGGAGGAGACAGCTGAGCTCTCAGTGCACACAGAGGGAAGCCCGTGAGGGACCAATAAGGTCCACTCACATCTCCTGGGACAGAGGAGGAGGCTGAGGCTAGGGAGTGGGTGTAGGGAGTGGGTGGGGGACAAAATCTGAACTTGGTGACATCTCCGGAGTCTATAGTCCTTAGAGCCGGCCTTAGCAGCAGGCAGGTGGAAGGGACAGAGTGCAGAACAGAGTTAGGGCAGTGCCAAAGCTGTCCCCTACCAAGAGCCCCGGGCAGGGTGGAGGGGGAGTCACTGCCTAGCAGGTCCTGGCTGGTACCCAGGCAGCAGAGACAAGAGAAATGGCAACAAAGAGCGTGTTTGACCCAAGTTATCATTTCTTTTTGGTTTAATGTCCTATTTAAAGACTCCTTACCTATTCTAAGATCATTAAAAGTTTCTGTTTTCTTCTAGAAGTTTCACAGTTTTAGCTTTTACATTTACTAGTAATTTTAGCTCCTACATTCATTTTGATTATGGTGGCATGTGGTATGAAGTCAGGGTTGTAATTCTCTCTCTCTTATGTGGCATATGAATATCCAATAGCTCCAGTGCCAGTTCTTGAAAAGATAATTCTCTCCCAATAGCCAGATGTAGGTGGCTCTCCATTCCATTCCACTGATTATGCATTTTTACACTAATACACACAGTCTAAATTACTGCAGTTTTATGTGAGTCTGGAAATCAGGTAGGGTAAATTCTCATTTTTTCTTTTCCAAGTTGTTTTATCCATTTTAGGCCCTTTGCGTTTTCATATAAATTTTAGAACCAGCTTGTAAATTACTGCAAAACAAACAGACAAAAAAAGCCTGCTGGGATGTTGATTGGTATTGCCTCGAGTGTATCCATAAACTTGGGGAAAACTGACCTCTTCCTAAGGTTGAGCTTGTCTGTTTATCTTCTTGAATCTCCCTCAATTGTTCTTGGGGATGTTGCTCTCTATTGAGTTTTCTATTCTTGCAGTGTCTTTTTTAGATTTAGAAATCAGGGCAATGCTAACCTTAGAGAAGAAGTTGAAGAGGGTTCTCTTCTATTTTTTGGAAGCGTTTGTAAAGAATTAGTATTATGTCTTCTATGAACATTTGCTAAATCTTCAATGAAGCCATTTAGGTATGGAGGTGTTTTTCTTTTTCACTTTTTTTTTTAGGGGGGGGGGATGGGAAGTTTTAAATAATAAATGTAGCTTCATTAATAGACACAGAACCACTTAAACGATCTATTTCTTCGAGGGAGCGTTGGTAACTTGTATCTTAAAAGGAATTAGTCCATTTCATTCGTCATGGGATTTACGGGCATAAAGGTGTTGATAGTGCCTTGTTATCTTTTTGCTGTCTGTGTGCTGTGTGGTGGTGCCCTTGATCTTTTCTGATACTGGTAACTTGTGTGTCTTCTAGAGGTTGATCAGGATAGCCAACTCTCATTTACTTGTAGATTCTGTGTTTGTGAGAGTGCCTACGTGCTCGGAGTTATCTGTAAGTCTAACGTTAGTGCTGTCAGTGCTGTGACGGTCACCTGAGGGCGTGCAGAGCAGCGGGAAATTTGAATTGCCCGACACACGTTCCCGGTTCCCGGTGATGTTGGAAAGGAGATGCTCGTCTCGTTTCGGCTCCCATACTGTCAACAAGGGACCTCTTCCCAGTCTATTCAGTGCCAGGGTTTTGAGTGTTGTCTTTTTGTGTTGGCGATTTTACTGTTTAAAATGCCCACATATGGGGTGTGAGCTGCTGTGTGTGGTGTCCCTCACACGCTGTGACATGCCTGTGGGAGAAAGTGTGTGCCAGATAGGCTTCGTTCGGGCCTGAGGCACCGTGCTGCTGGCCTCACGTGAGTCCAGTGTTCATGAATCAGCCACAGAAATGAGGCAAAATCAAAACAGATGTGCAGAGATGAGTGACAATTAGAATACTTAGGAACATGGGGCAAGACTGGAAGTCATGTGACCCAAGTCCAAGTCCTGTGTCTGCTGCCCAACAACTGATTCTGATCCAGGAGCTTGAAATGAAGACAGTAATACCTATTGTAGAGGATATATATATATATATATATATATATATTATTTATTTATTTTTTTTAAAGATTGCAATGACAACACATTGTGGATGGATCATGAGAATTCTCCTGTTTTCTGTTCTAAGGCTTGTGGCCAGTCATACTTTAAAAAGATATTAGTTTGTAAGAACACATAATAAATAACTTCAAAATGCCATGGGTATTTAATTTTAAAGCATGCCTTTAACATTTATGTAAAACGTTTTATGTACTCATTCCATGGAAACTTATCTGGCCCCTGGGTGAAGCTAGCAATAAAATTATTGGCCCACTATGTGTTAAAAACCACTCTTTTCAATGTCACATATTTTTGTCTGTGTAGTATTTCACGGTCACAGTTTTTATATGTAAAAATGTACTGTTGTTTCTCTGTAGAGACCAAGGCAAAATTCTGCTGACGGGAGAAAACTTAAGCTTGCTCATTGGAGGAAACTTGGCCACATCTACTCTCATTTCTTGGGGATAAATATTGAAGCGTTCTAGAATCTTTCCCAACTCCCCTCCACACCTCTGGGTCGGCCCCTCCAGAGCCAGGTTCTTGGACAGAGCATCTGATTGGCTGAGCCTGGGTCACATGCCTTCACGCTAGAAAGAGAACATAGGAATGTCTGCCCCCCTTCCCCTCTAGTGTGTACAGTTTGGTACAAGGTCTTCTGTATCAAATGGAGAGTTCTCCGCACTCCGAGCAGCCTCACCCAGCAGGTGTCTCCCATCCCTCCCTGTTTGGGGGGCGGGAGATGTTGTTTCTGTCCTCCATGTTCCCCAGAATGTTCCACACTCCATGGCTCAGCCCTTCTCAGTGTCTAAGCTCTGACATCATTATGAATTCTTCCCCAGAGTACGGTTTAAGGCAGCGGTCGCCAACCAATGATCCGTGAGGGTGAAAGGTTGGTGACCTCTGGTTTAAGATACAAACTAAGCTTTAATCCCTTCAGGCTTTGGCTCTTGACCTGCAGAGGTTTTTGGAATAAAAATTAGTTGTAATAGCTCAATGAGTGGAAGGCCATGGAAACTAGAAAAGCAGAGGAAAGAAAAACCTTGGCAGAAAATTTCCTTATTTTACTAGGTTATGCTCTCTCTTTTTAAAAAAAATATATTTTATTGATTTTGTACAGAGAGGAAGGAAGAGAGATAGAGAGTTAGAAACATCGATGAGAGAGAGTCATCGATCAGCTGCCTCTTGCACACCCCCTACTGAGGATATGCCCGCAACCAAGGTACATGCCCTTGACCGGAATCGAAACCAGGACCTTTCAGTGCCCAAGCCGACGCTCCATCCATTGAGCCAAACCGGTTTTGTGTATGCTCTCTTTTTAAAAATATTTTTAAAAAATATTTTTTATTGATTTCAGAGAGGAAGGGAGAGGAAGAGAGAGTTAGAAATGTTGATGAGAGAGACTCATCAACCAGCTGCCTCCTGCACACCCCCTACTGGGGATGTGCCCGCAACCAATGTACCGGAATGGAACCTTGTAACGGAACCAATGTACCGGAATCCAACCTTGACCGGAATGGAACCCGGAACCCTTCAGTCCACAGACGGACGCTCTATCCACTGAGCCAAACCGGTTTTGGCCTGCTCTCTTTCTTTCTTTCTTTCTTTCTTTCTTTCTTTCTTTCTTTCTTTCTTTTTTTTTTTTAATATATTTTATTGATTTTATACAGAGAGGAAGGGAGAGAGATAGAGAGTTAGAAACATCGATGAGAGAGAATCATCGATCAGCTGCCTCTTGCACACCCCCTACTGGGGATATGCCCGCAACCAAGGTACATGCCCTTGACCGGAATCGAACCCGA